TATAGAGTAGGCCTGAACGGAGTCAGCCCCACTGAACTGAAGCGAACTGTACAGACCTTACGTGCGGACGGATGCAACAGAAGCAGAATTATAATATAGATTATCGTTATCGTTATTACCATCATCATTATTTTTTTCAGTATTATTATTGTTGTCACCATCATTATTGATCATAATTACTATGACTGTCATTATTATTGTAATAATTATCATTAATCTATAATTACCATGGTCGTAATAATTATTAATCCTTATTGTTATTATCATCATTACCACAATAATTTTCATTATTAGTATCATCATCATTGTTAGTGCTATAATCCTTTTCGTTACTAATCTCATTATCATTATTACTACTATCAGTGTTATAATTATTATTGTTATTATTATTATTATTATTATAATTGTTATTATTATTATTATTACTATTATTGTTATTACTGTTATTTTTATTGTTATTATTATTATTATTATTATTATTATTATTATCATTATTATTATCATTATTGTTATTATTATTATTATTATCGCCATTATAATCATCATTATTATCATCACTGTTGTTATTAGTATCCTTTTTATTTTTCATTATTATCACTATTATTATCTTTTATTAGAATAGTACTACTAGGAATGGTAATAGTAATATTATTAATAATGATACTACTACTACTACTACTACTACTATTATTACTACTACTATTACTACTACTACTACTACTACTACTACTACTACTACTACTACTACTACTAATGATAATAATGATAATAATAATCACAATAATGGTAGTGATGATGATAATGATAAGGATACTGCTGCTATAACAATATTATCTGTGATGATAGTGATACTACCATTATTAACAATGATCTTAGGAATAAAAGCATTAATAACATTGATAATATTACTACTAATGATAATAGTGATATAATAATAATAGTGATAATGATGATGATAATATAGATGCTAATAATAATTATGATAGAAATACTAATGATAATAATAATAACAATTTTGATAATACTGATAATGATGATAATGATAATAATAATGATGACAGTAAAATAGTAATAATTGTGATGATTATAATGATGATAGTAACTATGTAAATAACAATGATTAATTATATTATTAGTGTGGTCCCCAGTTGTCCGTTCGCTCGTTACGGGTAATAATTGACAGCATGACTATTAAAGAATCACACACTCACACACGCACACACACATACACACACACACACACACACACACACACACACACACACACACACACACACACACACACACACACGCAAACACACACATATACATTTAGGCAGTATATTATGAATCTGTCATGATCCTATTTATAACTTATTGTTATTAATATTATCATTATTATCATCATTATCATTATTAGTAGTAGTAGTAGTATCATTATTGCTACTATCATTCCTATTATTATCATCAGTCTTACTATTATCGCAATCACTAGTATTATTATCTTTATTATTACTATTACTATCATTATTATCACTATTATTACCTTTTTCATTATTTTTTTTCTTCGAGGCGAGTCATCAGCCTGTCAGTCTAAAACCATCCGAGGGGAGATAGAAGGGAAAGGGGAGAGGGAGGGGGAGAAGAAAGGGGGGAGAGGGAGAAAGAGGAGAGAGGGAGAAAGAGGAGAGAGGGATAAGTGAGGAGAAAAAGGAGAGGGAAGGGAGAGGGGGCTCAGAGAGAAAGGGAGAACGGAGGTAATAATGACAATAGAGATAATAAATATAATAATAATAACAATGCTAATGAATATGATAATAATAATATAGCAGTAATAGTGGTTATAATGGTAATAAGGATAATAAAGATAATAGTGATAATGCTAATGCTAATAATGATAGTAAGGACAGTAATAATGATAATGATATTACCACTACTACTACTTCTAATGAGGATAATGATAATGATAACAAAATAAATAAATACGATAATGATGATAATAATGACTATAGTAATGGTAACTATAACAATAATGATAACAAAAAATGATAATGATAATAACGACAATCATGATAATAAAGGCAATGATATTAATGATCATAATAGTAATAATGATGATAATGATACTACTACTACAACAAATGATACTACTACTACTACTAATAATAATGATAATGATAGTAACAACAGTATCATTTGGGGCTAACGCCGACGGGGGCACATGGCCGCATCCACGCCTTCGCTTCCAGCCACGAGGGTCCCTCATGGTAATGATAATGATAATAGTAATGATAATAATAGAATTTATAATGATAACAACAAAAAATTAATGATAATGATAACAATAAAAAAATATGGTAATGATAACAATAAAAATTTAATGATAATGAGAATAATAGAGATAATAATAATAATAACAATGGAGATAATAATAATGATAATAGTAATAATAATAATAATAATAATAATAATAATAATAATAATAATAATAATAATAATAATAATAATAATAATAATGATAACAATAAAAATGATATTGATAGTAATGATAAGGTAATGAGTAAAGATGATAATGATAATTGTAGTAGTAATGATGATAGTACTGACGATGATAAAATAACAATAATGATAATGTTGGTAATAATAATGATCATAATGTTAATAATGATGACAATGATGATGATGATGCTAATAATGATAATAATGATAGTGATAATGAA